ACGAAAGGGGCTGAGCCCCAGCCTTCATGGCTGGTCTCACAAAGTCGTATAATATTTCCTCCTGGTAGGTAAACTGTATCAACACATTTAAAAGCAGATTTAAGAAGCTCTTGTCACCTCTAAATATAAAGTTTTATCACTCATCAGAAAGATAGTATTTGATGGTAATCTGAATTCCATCCGGCTTCTGATAGCTCACTTCAAATTCCCCAAACTTCAGAGATTATCTTTGGTTTTGGAGATGATGAAGAGGTTTCTATTTTTGCTAAAAATGCTTCCACAATAAAAAAAAAAAAAAAAGAAAGAAGAGACCCAGAAAAGAACTGTTACTATCTCAGTTATACAAAATAATCAGCAAATATATACTTTAGAATAGGGTGAGCTTGTATCATGGGAAAGTTTATTCTTTAAAGAAGGAGTAAGATATATTGGAGGGAATTTCCATTAGCATGATTGAAAGGGTGAGGAATATACTGATACATTGTTGACGTGAGGATTACCAGTGTTTGATCGCCAGTGATCGCCGGGGTTTCTTGGCCTTCTTATTCTTCCATATATGGTGCTGGCCATTCTACTTTTAGGTTACTCAAGCCATTTAAAGTCTTGTCATCCTAAGCAAGAGCTACAACTTCACAATCTTTGGGGGTTTGCCGGCATAATGACTGAGTCCAGGCTGGGTGCTGCCTGAGCCACTGTACTGTCCTATGCAGTGTTTGAAGAGGGCTGGGGTGCAGCTGTTCTGTCCCCCAGACACCTGAGTCCAGAATATTGCTGAATTTTGCATCATTTCTGTGCTCTCTCTGGAAAGCTGGAAGCTCCCCAACTCTCTCGGGTTTGGCTTCCTGTTCACATGTTTTCTGGTCTCATGTCATTGTGCATGAAGTAATAGCCCCACATGCGTGCACCATCCACAATGGCAAGATTTGTGTGGCTCGGTGTAAGCTTTCTAATGAGGACATTTTGGACCTTCCGGCAACTCCTTAGGGAAAGCAGTTTGGAACCGGTTATTACTTTCCAAGGTGAAGGGAGCAGAGAGAGAATGCATTTCTGCAACAGGGCTAAAGCCACTTTTAGGAGAGAATTAAAGGACAGCTGCTTAAGAAGCAAACAAACAAACAAACATTTCTTCTACACATCTATCTAAACGCATGCGTGTGTACAGTATAAAGAAAGGCCTCCAATCCATAGTTTTAAAATACCAGTTACTGTTTCAGCATTTCACTAACTATGAATGGTGCTAGTGTTTCCCACCGGGGACTGTTATTTTAATGACATTTCTCTGCAGCAAAATCTGATGAGTTCACAAAGTCTCAGAGCCAGGAAATGCGGCTCCGTTTCTGAACAACTGAGAAAGCCAGGAGAGCTCAGTTCAGTCATCTACTTGCTTTCCAGCACGGATCCCTAAGTGCTAAGAGCAATAACACAGTAATACAGAGAGAGAAGCCAAGCCAAACTTTCAAAAGTACAGCTCTTAAACCATCAAACTTAACTTCCCGACATGTTATCAGCAGGTGAAATCCTGGCGCACACCCACCCTTATTTGTGGATGTTAATGTCAAATGAATGGGCACATGTGCCAACATTTTATAGAATTTTAGAGCAGGAAGTGATTTTGGAGGTCTTCCAACCTTACCTTTTATTTTACGAACAGAGACATTGAGACTCATGTAAGTTCACTGCAGACGCACACACATATATACATCGGAGTCTTAGGCCGAGTCATTGCCTGCAGAAAATATGATAGGTCTGGCTTAAGAAAAAGGAAGGACAAAATGACCCAAAGCTGAGCCAGTGGTTCCCTGTTCCATTCAGGTTTGTGTGGCCCAGCTTTAGGGCTGTGGGCCGCTCGTTTATTCTTGCTGCAGGAGCCGTTCAGGGTCTCAGATTAGATACACTTGACCAAAACTTGAATAAACTCCCAGACAACCCAAGTGTCCATGAGTGACTCAGATCCTGACTACACTGCGATGCTCAATCCGTGCAAGGTGTTCTGGGGCCACATTGTGATTGGAGCATAAAATGTAGACAGAACCCCAAGTACAACTCTCACACTTCGGAATCTGAAAACCTGACCAGAGAGACGAGACCTTCCCCCGTCTAGGCAGCAGTGGAGACCCTCTCACTAGATGCTATATCGTGTAGCCCAGATTTTAAATGTTGTAAGTGTTCTGGGGAGAGAGAGAAATGAAAATTGAGGTGATCAGCTGATCCCAGAGGGGTGCTTAGAATTTTCATATGTGGAGGGGTTAAAGGTAAACTCTTCTAGCAGAAATGAAAGCATGGAGAGGGTCTCGTGGCTCGGATCCCAAGGAAGCCAGGCTGATGGGTGCTCTCCAGCAGCACTTGCCAACCTGAGCTATGGACTTGAGCCCTGGTACTGATTACCATCATTATCTACTAAACCGTTACTGAAATAAGCAGCCCCCGCTTAAGTTACTTTAATTACATTTATATAACTATAAATCCACAATAATATAATTACACTTACATCATTGAAAATCCAAAACAGATTGCTAATTAAATATAAACAAAACCATAAACCAATAATATTCTGTTGGTTGGAATCAAATTAATTGGTTAAAATTAGTAATATTGGTTTTATTTGCCAAATGATGCTGTTTTGCTGAAACTAAAGAATAAATTTGTTTTAACCAGTGTTCATTAATGAAATTGTAAAAGAAAAAGAGAGAAATATTTTAATTAAAATTTTCCATTGCACATTTCGTACTCTATTTATAGTGAATTATTACAAGTTGGCACATATAAAGGCAGAAAGGATCCAGGCAATCCATCTGCTGGTGTCGAGATTGTGGAACTAAAAACCGTGGTGGTTCAGTCATCCTATCTCCTTACTCTCTCTTGGCAAATAAAACTTCATTCAGCACAGCAGGAGTATTTGACTCTCACAGGCGTACACTTATCAAGCACGTATAAATACCTGCCTCTGTTCTTTCTTTAATAGCCTATAGCTCTAAATTATTACACTATTCTCCTGCACATTATAATTTTAATGATGACAAAGCAAAGTCTCCATTTATAAAATGGATGAAAACCCTGGTCTCATTCCATGAAAATGTCTTTTGATTGCAAACTACTACTGCAAGGGAAGTTGTATCTTTATTACTGGCTTAAAAAAAAATCCAGTGCCAGTAATAATGATCGCCAGTGTTTCTTGGCCACTTATTCTTCTAAATTTCTTACGTGGATGTTTGCATGTAATCCTCACGTCAACCCTATGGAACAGATAACGATTTTTAATCCTCATTTTTCAGAGGAGGATACTGAGGCATAGAGAAATGAAGTAATTCGGTCAAGGTCAAAATAGCCAATGGATTCTGTAGCCTGGAATTCCTGCTGCTCCCAGTGGGAGATTGCGAATAACAGAGAAAGGACGCTGTTGTTTGACGATAGGCTATAATCCAGCATGACCACAGCCAGATACTTGTAGCCTCACATTCAAATGTAAAATTTTACTTTGGAAGATCACAGGGTGCCGTGCATAATTATAAATGTAAACATTTATATGTCTTCCTGGAACATACATAAAAAGTGGAGATCTGCGTGATGCTTATAATAACTTATAATGTTATCAGAGAATAGAAAAGTGCTTCTAGAACTCACCAACTTCCAGGATGAGAAGCACAGGGGCATGGTCAAAAGCTGACTGGGTTGGGTGTGTCAGATGACAGGGGGTGGCGGAAATGGGCGGAAGAGTTGATCTGCCGGGAACAGAAAGAGACGTGATAAGGATAAGGGTGGCATGGGAGGAAGAGTCCTGCAGCAGGAGGCCAGCTGCAGGGAGGTCCTACCACAACAGTCTCCCTAAGAGTGAAGCTTCCAGAACAGAGCAGAGGACCTGGGACTGTCCACATTTAACCTGAATCACCAGGGCCAGTTCAGAACAAGAAGAGATTCCAGGTCTGTTGTATTGAAATAATCTACACCCATTACCTCTGAGAATATTCACTAGTGAAGAGGTAAGAGGGCTCCACATGAAGTGTCTTAGTATTATACAGGCAAGAGAAATATTTTTTAAATGTAAAGGAAATTTGGGGTTGTGAAATAGTGTGTGTTGTTTTCCTATTCTTCTAGCTTATGTCTTATAGCTTGTATATCCTTATAAGATATAGCTACTATATATCTTTCCTCCTCTAATTTATATATCATATCTGCATTTATATATAGCATGCATATGTTAAATGTGCTCTTCATGTCAGCAAGATTGCTTCATCAAATACTTAATGCATTAAAATGGGTGTTTCCTCGTATTCAAAGTATCGAAGTTGATTTTAGTCACTTACATATTTCAACTGTCATAAATGCAGAATAGAAACAAATTTAACCACTTGAAAATGCTTACTTTGCTACTCATCAAATAGTAGCTTGCAGTCACTTTAGAAGATTTCATGATTCTGCATGTTTTCCTTTAAAATAGGTCTTAGAACCTGAAATTAGACGTCATTCAACTTTTAAACTTGGAACATTTTGTAAACCTTTAAAAAGAAAGACTTCTTTATTGGCTTTACAAAATCCAGTTAGAGAATAATATGAAATGAATCTAATGGAAAGTCTCTCCCTTGATGAAGAGAAAGTCAAATGGAAACTTCTATAAAAGGATTGAATGACCCACAGTACTTCAAAGTCTCTTGGAGTGATTTTAAGAATCACCTTCAGTCTGGGGACTTCCCTGGCAGTGCAGGGGGTGCAGGTTCAATCCCTGGTCAGGGAGCTAAGATCCCACATGCTTCACGGCCAAAAAACCAAAACATAAAACAGAAGCAATATTGTAACAAATTCAGTAAAGACTTTAAAAATGGTCCACATAAAAAAAAAATTTTTTAAAGAACAAACTTAAAAAAAATGAGAAACTCAGTCTGGATGAAATTTGAAGAATGCTATTCCTAATGATGTCCTCCTTTGAAGATGTGAAAGGGCAACATCTGAAAGATAAATCACTGATGAAATGCAACTGATGGCATTTTTGCTTTCTTCCATCATAGGTGCTGACGGCCAGCCACCATCATCTGAGGAAGGTGAATTTGGCAAATGACATGCAGGTTCTCCAAGACAGAATAATTGCAGAAAATCTTCAAAGGTACTCATATCAAATATTGGTCTCGATTAATTAAACCAAGGCACTAATTAAACCCGGGTACTCCATGTCACTTGAAGAGGGGAATGTGTCACAGGTGGGGAATTATCAGAAACGCAGGAGTCAATAGTCCCGCCCCTTCCTGTAAGCATTCTCCTCCTTCTTGGCTAAGAGAGCTGAAAGGCAGAGCCATTTCTTGAAATTCGTCTCCAGGAATGGCAAAAGAAGCATCTGAAGAATCATGTAACTTTATTAACATGTCATGAGATACTCAGGAAGCTCAGGGGAATTAGAGGGGTTGTTAACGGTAGGCCAGCTATGCACAGTCATCCAAAGTTTCAGGCATGAAAACTACAGATGTCACCTGTCTTGTTCACAGCTTGACCTCACAGTTTCTTGCCTTGGCCACATACACTGGTGCCAAGAGTGTCGTGGGACCCAGGGCAGGCCACGGAGACCCATCTCAGCAACACAACCTTGGCTGCAAAAACATCCCTAGGGGTGTTGGTTCATACGGGTTTATACCCCACACCATGAGTCTTTGCTCAGATGTCAACTTTGAAAGTTGTTTCCACCCTCATTGAAAACTAACACCATGGAAACTGTTGAGTTCCTCTTGGTTTTTGCAGCCCTTCAGAATCGTTGCCCTTTGCTGGATTTTCATTGTAAGTCTTGTGTTAGCCCAGGCTGACTTGGAATAAATCCTTTAATCACCAGAAAGCTCATGAACCTCACACAAACAGAACAAAACAAAACAAAATCTTCAAGTCTGACCCGAATTTCAGGTTTGTCTCTTGAGGGTTGATTTCTCCAGCTTCTCTTTCTAATACTTATGGGATTAAACATTTTGTCCTCATACTACAAATGGCAAGTGAAGAAGGGAAACGGCTGGGAGCTTGGGGTTCATTCCTTGACATAAAATCATGAACACAGGCAGATTTTCTCTAATTCTCAGAGCTTTGTTGGCAGTTGGTCTGGGATCTCACCAGTAAGGTCTTGGATGCTGGTTATTCCCAAGCTAAATCAACAGTAAGAGAAGACAAGTTGAAGTTTAGGTCTCCTTACTTCGAAACTCCAAACGGGAGAGGAAAATATTCCAAAACAAACTGAAAAAGATATCTGCTTAGGAAGAAGTTCAATCAACAGTAGAACTGTGACTTCTTAAGACTGCTTCACCGTCTTGAGTCAGTTTGCCAAACCTTTTCCTTGTGAACCGTTAGTCCAGTGCATCAAGTTTTCTGTAAGAAAGAAACAGGTTGTCCTTGGGTATCATGTCATTCAAAATTAACTATAGAAGAGGCTGGAAACTCTATATCTTCCCAAGAGGTCACTGAAGACTTGATTTCTCAAAGCATCTGTCTTAGTTTCTCTTGTGCTACGAAGAGGCCACTTTTCTGGGATGCCATGTTGTTTATTATCTGGTTACTAATCTTTCATGTCACACTTTTCTACCTCTAATGAGTCATTTCACCACTTTAAGTATCAATATTATATCCTTTCAATTCTCAGCCTATCCTTATTACGAGAAAATAGAAATGCATTTACTCTAATACTGGATGAAATCAGAATCACTTGCTCAAATTTAACACACATGACACTTATTTCCTAAAAATCTGCGGAACCGGGCTTCCCTGGTGGCGCAGTGGTTGAGAGTCCGTCTGCCGATGCAGGGGACACAGGTTCGTGCCCCGGTCCGGGAAGATCCCACATGCCGCGGAGTGGCTGGACCCGTGAGCCATGGCCACTGAGCCTGCGCGTCCGGAGCCTGTGCTCTGCAACGGGAGAGGCCACAACAGTGAGAGGCCCCCGTACCCCAAAAAAAAAAAAAAAAAAAATCTGCGGAACCCCTGTTAGAGCTGGCTCCGGTCTGCTTTTTTTGTCTTTGGACTGGAAAATTCAAATTCAGTGTCTGACCAGCTGCCAGTTTCAGAGATCTCTGCCCTTCCCCATCCATCATTTGAGCTAGACTAGATAGCTGGCTGAGCCCCTTCCCACCACTACACGTGTATTCACATAGCCACAGTCCTCCCAGCTGGCAAATTTTGTAGAAAGAAACGGGTCCTTTCTGTGTGTGCTCAGACAGGCAGGTTTAGAAAATAGGACCATTTTAATGAGTCTTAGGGTTTCAAAATGCTGCCCTGTGCATTTTTGATTGCCTCTCTGCTTGTGTCATTGGGGTATAAAGTCCTTTCACTTAATATTTTTCCAGCTTTAAGAACTGCTTACCTGCAGTTCAGTGAACTTGGCATCACCTCCAAAATACATAATGCAAGAAACAGAACCAGGAGATGTTATACGCAAATCTCAGAAGCTGCCCAAGCGTCTCCTGGCTGTTCGATTGCTGGAAGATTCTCTGTTGTTCCAAGGAGAGATAGGTTGTATTCACGTATAATGACACCAAAAGGACAATTAAACTTCACAGCTTGGGGGAGATTTTGAGAGCTCTTGTCAAAAATGTTCACACCTGTGGAACAGACCGTTATGTTTTGTGGAGCTTGGTTTTCAGCTTGAAATACACCTGCCAAAATCTGAATGGCCGCTATTGTACCTTCGGGACTCAAAAACCGCACTGTCAGACAAGGTTTGGTGCACACAGATGGGATAACTTAGAACAGTGACTATGTTGTTTGTAAGGCAATTAAGACCTTTCCTAGCCCTGCTGATGCTTTTTGGAGATGGAAAATGTTATAAGCATGCCTTAACTCTGCCTCCCTGGGACTTTATTTATTTATATTACTTTAATTATTTAAGTTATACTCAATACCTTAATTTGAATTTAAATATTTTTTAAAAATTGTCCATAGACTGTAATAGTAAGCAACATCTTTTCAAAGAATCAATTTCAGATGTGAACCCTAAAACCCACTAACATTATCCTCGTCTTGGTATCCAAGGACATGTAAAACTTGGTGCAGGGTATAGAGAGCTGAATTGGGGCGTGCTAAGAAGCAGACTCTTGTGACCACTCTTAACATTTCTCATCAAAGAAGGCAATTTATTACACAGAATCCCAATGTCTGTTAAAATCATGTATTTGTTGTAAAAACAATATAATCGCTACCTAATAGGAACTTCTTTTAAGGTTAAAAAAACACACACCCTTAACCCAAGCCCATAAATCTTTTCTATATGAAAATTTGCTAGGTGGAATCTTAGAAATACTCCTATTTGACTCTTTTTGACCTACAAAGGCAGTAATTTTATATGGTACTACCTAATAGTTTACATATTTGGGACCTTGGAGAACAGACAATTTTATTTGGATTTTTTTTCACCTACCTTTCTATCAAAACGGTTTCCAGTTTCTGCATTGTCTTCATCGTTCATAGTTTAAATTCGTGTATCATCTTCCATTACATGGATGTGGGATATAAGTTGATTTTGCTTTTTCCTTATAAAAGCAAATACTCAAAACACCACAGTCAGTGCCTTCCTTCGCACAGCAATTCGACTTGGTTGCATTCTCATGCCGGTTTTTAAACTAGGGTCTTCTCCTGCATCCTCTTTCCATCCGTCTGAAACGAAATACTTTCACATGTGAGTCTTGCAGTATGAATCTAAGTGATAAAGCAAGTGTTGGTTCATACAAGTATACAAATGTGCAGACGTGGTAGGTACATAGTTAAATGCATCTGTTTAGACAATACATCCTCCAAGCCAATGAGTTTGTGTTTAAAGAAAATCCAACTCCAGTGGGATGAGAAACATTGTGCCCGTCAGGCGGGCCATCTTCAACTGGCTGCTCTCCATTCCCAGCTGACTGAGACCCGTCCCAGCAAATGACCCTCTCAGTCTGCTCTGGCTGCCATTAGAATAATGCTTTGTCTCATGTAGCCAAGAAGCAAACTCCAGCAGTGTTGACAGACCAGAGGAAAAGCCTTTGCTCTTGCCTTAATGAAACATTCAGGCAGGAAGTTCGGAAGAAAACAGCAATGCCCGTGGGGATGAGAAATAGGGAATGGGAGGGGGGGAAGCAGTTTAATTATGATGAGCGCGGGGGGACAGTCACAAGTGGAGATCAAGAAAAAGAATGGGATGATGTCATTCTTTACCGGGACATTCACTGAAATGAAATCAGGTCACACACAATGGTCTTGTTCTCTGCCCAGACCCGTGTGTTACAAGAGATTACTTTGTGGTCATGCTTCTTAGGAGGGGTCTAAGGACCCTGCTCACGTTAAGATATCTCCCAAGACATCTTGAAGACAGATAAGGGCAGAATCATTTCATCCAGTGCTGAAAAATGGCCCACACTAGGTTCACAACATGTTTTAAGATCACTGGGCCACAGCTTCGGACAGTGTTCGGGTTCTTACAACACTGAATTTTAAGAAGCAGAGCGTAAGTACACAACTTGGTGTCAGGCCAGATACCTTAAGTTGGTGCCTTTTGGGTAGGGTAATTTTGAAGGGTGTTCTGAAGTTAAGACAGAATCTATTTCTCAGTAGAAAGTTGGCACTTCCTGAAAAGAAATACTGCCTTGTACCACGTTAAGACATTTTTAGGACTGATTAATTCTGCTTACAGAGGAAGCATTTGATCTGTGTCGATCTCAAGTGCCTAGTGCCACTGGTGGCAGATACATTCAATTTTGGATTCCTTCTCTCAGTAGTGTCCTGACTTAACCTCATTCATCTGCTTAGATTTCACAAGAGGGCATCACAATTACAAATGAAGTTTAGATTTTCTAAGAAGTTATCCCTGGAATAATTACGTGGTAGGGTCAGATCCTGTTATTAATATTCTGTTGTATTGCATTAATAGGGCTTAAAACAAATAAGTCATTGACTGAGGCCCTTTTTTTAGGATATTTTTGCTGCATATTTGTAATAGAGCTGAAACATTGCAGCCTTTTTACACTGGCATCTGTGGTTTAGAGAATTTGTAAAACTAAATGATTTATTTTGGTAAACCACTGGTCTTCGGGTGCATATATGTATTTAGGGACAAGGACTTTCTCTCTCTTGTAGAATATACAAAGATGTGAAAGTAAAATTGGATTA